GGGGCCTGGGCTTGGGGCTCCTGGCGGCTGGAGGCCGGGTGAGTGCCGGGGGGCGGAGCAGGGCCGTGGTCCCGCTCCATGGGGCTCGCCCGCCTTCCCGCGTCCAGGGCGCTCATACCTCCCGGCTCTGTGCCGCGCTGTGAGCCACGCACGCGCGCCCACCGCACGAAGCGCGGCTCCTCCCGCGCCCTGGCACTGGGCCCCGCACGCCTGCGCGTGGGCCCCGGGCAGATGCCCGCGAGACTTCTCTCCTACTTGACATCTGCGACACTGAGGCAGAAGCGGGGCACAGAGGAGGCTGATTCCACTTCCAGCCCTACTGATCGGCCCCTTCCTGCTTCTGCCCTCAACATTCCTGATCCCTTGGGCACAGCCATCTACCAGGCCCCGCTTCCCTCTCCTTCCCTGGGCCTCACCCCTCCACCACGGCTGGGCTCCCAACCTCTCATCCAACCACAGCTATTTCCAGGAAGGGGGGGCATGCGGGTGGAGGGGTTTCTCCAAACAAACCCAAGGCTTCAGAGTGAGAGGGGGCCCAGGCTCAGGGAGAGCTGACAGGCTTGGGAGTGTTCTAGGCAGGAGGAGGGCGAGGGTCCTCTGGGGTCTGGTGATGCCCTCCTAGCCCTCCCACAGTGCGCTCTTCTCCAGAGCCCATTTATGGGATCCTGTTCCCATGTCCCTTTAGAGGTGCCCCACAGGGTGGAAAGGGACTCAGCCCAGTGGATCCTGATCATTCAACACAAGGAACCCTCAACTCTCGCTACAGTCACTGCTTGGGCACCTCCTTCCTGTGCCACCTCTTTTCTGGGCCGTGGTGGGGAGTATCTGAGACCGAGGAGGAGCAGAGGAGGTCTGAGGACCTGTTTTAGGTGAGGGGCCTTTCAGTTCCTCCAGAGGAAGCAGAAGCAGGGGTGGTAGGAAGCATGCTGGAGGGTTCTGGGCAGGAGCAGGGTAAAGCCACCCCTGCCCACCTGCCTACCCCACCACAGTGTCCCATCTTCCCTGGCAGGGCTGGGTGCTGGACCAGGCCAAGTTCAGTTGCCCACATTGACCGGGACCTGGAATGTCCTGGGACAAGGCCAGGGCTGGGAGTGTAGGGGTGGGGTGCAGAGCCAGTGTCCCTCTCCAGTTACAGGCTGGGGGCCCAAGCCTTGCTACACAGATGCCACCTTCTGGCCAAGGTACCCTGGGGACAGACTTCCTGGCCTGGATAACTGGAGGTCCCAGGGAGAGGCCTCAGGCTAGCTAGGCCCAACCCAGGCAGGTCCTGGATGTCCCAAATGGGCTACCATCGTGGGACTCACTCCAGAGAATGCAGGATTGGGCTGGTCCTCCATCTGGGTGGGTGTGAGGCATGGCGGGGGGAGGGGGGAATTGAAGCCATCCGTGGGAGAAGCCAGAGCTGGGGAGTTGCCTGAGTACTGGGACATTCACTAAATACCATGCAAATAAGGGGACACATTTGCATTCATACCAGTGACATCTCCTGCCAGTCCAAGTGTCCAGAGCTTAGAGCTGAGGACCCTCAGGTCATTAACCCCTTCTGGTTTAGGAAGATTACTCCCCCCTTTCCAAGGCCTCATCTACCTCCTTCCCTTGACTCCCAGGACAGGAAGTTGGCCATGTTCCCAGGAGGGAGGCAGGAGGCCCACAGAAGGGGGTGGAGTATGTGCTGGGAGGGGGGCCTCCTGTCCAGTCCTCAGGCCATGGGATAGCTGATGAAGGAGAGCAGAGCTAGGAGTGCCATGGAGGTAGAATGCAGGCATAGGGGTGAGGTGGGGTGGGTGGGGCCGACCGTGGGGGCCTAAGGCCTGGGGTGGAGCGGCTGAGAGGGGCTGGGGCCTGTGAGGTGGGACCTGAGACAGTGAACAAGTAAGGGAGTGGTGTGCTGCATCAGGGCCAGGGAGCTGGGGGTTCTCAGGAGGGCCTTAAGTGCCTTGGGGTGCACAGTAGAATGGCTCATTCGTGTGGGCGGAGTCCAAGGTGTCTGCGGGAAGGGCAGCAACGCAGGTTGTCCTTTTGCTACTCCACAACCAGTGAAACTGAGGCAGGAAGCTGGCCCTCCCCCCCATCACCCCTGACCCCTGACCCGCAGATACACTCTGATCCCCTGGGCTGGCCAGTTAGTGGTTCCCAGCTCCCTCCCTCCCCACCGGAAGTCCCAAGAGAGCCTGAGAGTCCAGGCTGGAAGGCTGGCTGGGACACAGTGTTCCCCACTGGCCCTTGAACCTTTCCCTGGGACCTAAATTCCCACCCTGCCCCATGAGGGGTTGCATCTCAGGACCCTGGATCCTGTAGATCCCAGGCATGGGGCAGCTCCTGAGTGGGAAGGGGCTAGCAAAAAATCCTGGGCTGACACTCCTGGCAGGGTAGATCCTGGGAATCTGATCTCCTGGCCTCCCCCACATCCTCTCCCCCCCCCACTTCCTGGAGCAGCCACCTGCCCCTCTTCCCGCCTGCACTTCCCTCCACTTCCAGGGCCAGGCTTCTCCTCACACCAGCCAGACAGCCTACCCTCCGCCCAGGGGGAGCGGCTGCCTCCACCAGGCCGCTTCCAGGAAGCCCCGGGCCAGGCCCCAGCATTGTTCAGGTCCTGGCCACAGCTGCGGCGGCACCCCAGCCGGCTAGACACCATGAAGTCCAGTGGCCAGGTGGAGAGGCTGCTCAGAGCCCTGGGGAGGAGGGACAGCAGCCGGGCCACCATCAGGGTAGGAGAGCCAATCCGGGCAAAGGAGGGGCTGGGGGAGAGGGATGGGGAGTAGGGGGAAGAGGGCCAGGATTCAGGCCAGACTTTTTCCCAATTTCTGCTTCCTCAGCCTTCTTCCTTGGCCCGGCCGCATCCCTCGTCACTTTGCCCCTTTGGGTGGCCAGGGCTGCGCTGTGAGTAGCAGATGCCTGGGTCAGAGTGGATCTTGCTGTCTGTTTTGTCTTGTCTATCGCCTTCCCTGCTCTACTCAAGCCAGTCCTGGGGATCCTGCCTGGCCCCTCAAATCTCAGCCACGGATACACTTCACTGTAGGACTTTGCTCTGCACCAGCCTGGAGCCCTAGAGCGGAGCCAAGATATTGGGTCCATTCCCTGGCTGGGGAGGTCTGAGGGAAATGGAGTGGAGTGGCCGAGGACGGGAGGGAAGAGGCAGGACTCGGGACACCAGAAACTGAAGGTTCACTTTCCCTTGTTATCAGCATGGGCTGCGAATGCACCCTAGCTTCCTAGTGGGACTGGCAAATTTGCTCTAACCCAGAAGAGCTCCGGGGATAGACAAGGCCACAGGTGCTGGTGGAGCCCCCATCACTCCCTTCCCCACCTCTCAGCTGTTCCCCAACCCTGACTCAGGACTGCATGAGCTAATACTATGGCAGGGGGGGCAGGAGCTTGACCTCCAGAGGAGGAAAATGAGTGGAAAAGAGAGGCTGTAAGGAGGCAAATAGTCCCCAGAGGCTGGAAGGAGGGAGTCCCTGTGGGAGGGGCCAGGCCATAGGGGGCATCCCAGCCCCTGCCTCTGGGTGGGCAGGGGCCAAACAGGGGATCTGACCTACCCTCCTGACTCAATGCTGGGATCCCATTGAACTCCAGTGGCAGGGAGCTCTCTACCTCGGAGGCCACACAGCAGCTAGACCGCTCTCCCGGGGCCCTGCCTCTAGCATTACAGGCCCCCCTTGCACAACTGCTGTCTGCCGCCTCAGTGCACAATGAGTAAACATGTTGTGCTGACCATGGGGGAGGGGCACGTCAGCTGCTTGGAGCGTGGGGACAGCGAGCGCCAGAGGAGCAGGACTGGCTGAAGCCACTCCTGCTGGCTTGGTCTGGGTGCTGCGTGACTGACACATTGCACGCGCGACTGGACACCGGACATGGCCTTTCTCTGGGGAGGGCAAGATGGAGAAGCAGAGAGCACTCCCAGCCCCTAGGAAGAATGTCCTAGCCTTTGGGGTGGCAGTGACCACAAGTGCGTCACACACTAGGGTCATGTGAAGGGCCTAAGTGACCTCTTGGGGAGGAGCTGACCTGCAAAGGTGAGGCAAGGGGTCAGATCTCACGCATTATAGAGGACAAGCTCCACGGCCAAAAAACAACCTGTGGCCAAGTGTGTTCTACAAGTCTGGGGGCTTGATCGGGATGAAAGAAGGAAAGCAGTGCAGTGCTAAGGCAAGGCCCTGCCCGGGCCTGCAGACGGGCCTGCTGGGAGCTGACACCTCTGTCCCTCCACTCCCAGCCTAGGAAAGCTGAGCCTCATAGCTTCCGGGAGAAGGTTTTCCGTAAGAAACCTCCAGTCTGCGCAGTGTGTAAGGTGACCATCGATGGGACAGGCGTTTCATGCAGAGGTGAGGTACCCTGTCCGGTGACTCTGAGACCCTCCACCAAGTCGTGCAGACTCCCACAGCAGTGTGCTGCTGCCCCTGGGTTAGGTTCTCTCAAGGGGCCCTGGCTTCCTACAGCAGACACCCCCACAGCCAGGAGACCCTTTCCCTCCACAGCCTCCCATCCTGGCCTGTGACCTGGCCCACTCTTCTCACCTCCATCCACCCTAGAACATTACCCTGGTTCCATCCTCCCTTCCTGGTCAGTAGTACTTGGCCTCGACCCCCGCTCCCCTACCCAGCCAGCCCAATACAGCTGGCATCCTGGAAGTCCCAGAGTCCATTCCAGGGCCTGAGGAGACAGGAGAAGGCTGCCCCTTCCGTGGCCCCCATAGGCTCCTGCTAACTTCTCTACTCTCCCTTCCCTCTCTAGTCTGCAAAGTGGCAACTCACAGGAAATGTGAAGCAAAGGTGGGTGCCTGGTTCTCCTGGAGGGAGGGGTGGGGAGGACATCCCTCCACCTCTCAAACAGGCTTCTCCAGCCACTGGCACCAACCTCCACCACTCTCATTATTGGGGACCCCTCCTGGGTGGAAGAGGGTGCTGTGCTGGGCCCTTTAAGAACCACCCTACTCCACCCCCTGGAGGGCTGGCCCAGGCGGGTGGACACACCGAGACAGCGTTTGTCTTGGTGCTGTGCCCAGGCTGCAGCTGGCGAGAGGATGGGGGGTGGGGAAGAGGAGGAGAAGGAGGAGGAGGAGGAAGGGTGGAGTGGGTGGGTGAGGGAGCAGGATTCAGAGTCTGAGCAGCCGGATGGGGTGTGCCTTCCCTCTGGGGAAGGGTCCTCAGGATGCCTGGGTGGTTCCTGTCCTGAGCTCTGGAAAGTCTGGACCTTTCCAGGTACAAGCTGTAGCTAGCATCCACTGTCCGCTGGGTACCTGGAACGGTCTCGTTCCCATCTGAGGTTTCCTGGTCCTCCTCCTGCAGTATGGAGAGTGGAGGTCCCAGGGCCTTGGAACTGGTTTGGGGGAACGGTGTGCCCAGGGGCGGGGTCTCCCACTGAAAGAGGCCAGTGTCCGTCCCTGGCCATGGCCTGCCTGCATGGCTCTATATAGAACTCCTACCCTCCAGCTGGATGAATGGGGGTCTGTGTGGGCAGGGGGCCTACAGCCAAGAGCAACAAGTAGGGGCCTGGAGGGTGGGGAACCAGGAGGCCAGAGGGGAGGCTCCCTTAAATAAAGGAACCGCTGCTGGAGCCTGTGCCCGTCCACTGACAGCCCCTCCACCTTCTCGCTGAAGCTGAGGGGCTGCTTCATCCACAAAGCCAGGAGGTCCATCTCCGCAGAGCTGGGTCCCTTACTGTGCTCCTCTTCCAGGTGACTTCGTCCTGTCAGGCCTTGCCTCCCGCAGAGCTGGTGAGTGTGCTATGACATGGGGTGGGAGAGGCAAGGCATCTGGCCATCTCACTATCCAGAGGTCTGGTGGCCCCGGAGAGGGACCCCAGGACATCACCCTGAAGGGAGCCCTGTGGGAACTGGTCATCTGAAGGGGAAGGGAAAAAGTTTGGATCCTCTGTTGTTCTTGTCCTGTTGGGCCTGCTGGGGGTCGGACTCTTCCCCCTTCACCCAGTGTCACTCAGTGTGACCAACCTCAACCTCCCCTCCCACTACCCCCAGGCCCAGTCTAGTCCTTGTCTGTCCTAACCACTCCCTTGCCCTCCTGTGTCCCCTGTAGCGGCGAAACACAGCTCCGGTCAGGCGCATAGAGCACCTGGTAAGGTGATGCCAGAGGAGGGGCGGAAGCAGTAAGCCCTGGGGGTCAGGACCTAGGTTTCCCCGAAGGCATGAACTCTGGCTGGGGAGGCTGGAATGGGAGCACCCACAGAGATGTCCAGACACCGTTTCTCATCCACCAGGGCTCCACCAAGTCTCTGAACCACTCAAAGCAGCGCAGCACTCTGCCCAGGTAAGCGAGGGTGCGGGCGGTGCTCCCCGCATCTCAGCCCGTCCGCGCCTCCCAGTAAAGCTCTCCGGACGGACCCCGCCCCCAGGTGGTACTCTCCAAGCGGAACCCACCCTCCCATCACACTAGCTGCCTCCGGGTGCCCCGCCCTCCATTCCTTACGTAGCTTCGCCCCCTCTCAGGAGCTTCAGCCTGGACCCGCTCATGGAGCGGCGATGGGACTTGGACCTCACCTACGTGACGGAGCGCATCTTGGCCGCCGCCTTCCCCTCGCGGCCGGATGAGCAGCGACACCGTGGTCACCTGCGAGAGCTGGCCCACGTGCTGCAATCCAAGCACCGCGACAAATACCTGGTGAGGGGCTGGGTTGGCCGAAGTCAGCCAATAAGGTTTTAGGACCAGATGGGCGTGGCTACTCACAGACGTCAGGCCGGCGGGGAAGAGGCTGCTGGGGCCGGGGCGGGGG